AATCAAGATATGAAATTAAACATTTATGATACCCAATCTAAATTTCCTAACGAAATCAAATTTCTTTCCTCTAGTGACATTCCACCCAACACTTGATTAAATAGCTCTACATGCTTCAAGAATCTCCAAACAAGCACAGTTAAAACTCATTAGAAATGTATGAGACCTTTAGATCTAGGTATACTCACCAAAAGAAACTTGATTGAGTGGCCTCATGTGCAAGCTTAGGCTTCATGAGTTATCAAGCAAATATCACAATCTCTCTTTAAAGACATTTTGTCAAACACTTGACATGCATATTTTAGAAAAGAAACATTATGGCTCTTCAAGATTTGCTACCATTCACACCTAAAATTTCTAAAAAAGATATAGCTAGCATACATCATATAGTTATGCGCTTTGAACACATAAAACCATTTATGACAAGCAATAACTATCTCCATATTTCAAAAAGGATTAAAGCATCACTTGATTCCCAAATGAACACAAGGAAACTAAACAAAAAGAGATAGCAGAGAATGACTTTGCCAAGCTCATTTTAACAGAAATTAAACTATCTCAATTTCATTTTGATGAAGAAATACTAGCTAGATGAGGAGAAGAAATAAAGCAAGGGAAGAAGAGAAAGAATAGAAGAAGAAGGAAGAAGAAAGAGTAGGTAAGAAAGAAGAAATAGAGGAAGAGGTTACCTGCAGCTTGGAGGAAGTCGGCAAAGGGGCTTCAGCTCTGTTTGGGGTTCACGAACCGGACACCGAATGGAGGAGAAGGTTCGGCCTTCGGGTCTGCCGTGAACCAGAGAGACGGGAGAAAGGGGGTTCCTCACGGGTTCAGTTCGGAGAAGGAGATCGAGGTCGGGTCTTGGAGTTCGAACGAACCTTGGGCTCGGTTAGGGGGAGGCAAACAGCAGCAACCAGAGGAAGAAGGGAGACGTCCCTCGGCTCCCTGGCTTCTGCGAACAAGGGGAGGCGGGAGTATAAAGGGGCTTCGGCCTGGACCAGGTCACGCGAACATAGGGAAAAATGTGGAGGAGATTCGGTCCTTGTCCGAACACAAGGAGACGGAGAGAGGGAGAGGTCTGCCTGGAATCACCCGAGAGAGAAAGGAGGAAGAATCATGCCGAGAGAGAGGACACGGCCTCCGTCTAGGGCTTCTGCGAGCAGAAGGGATCGAGAAAGGGTGAGAGAGGGAGCGAAAAAAAAAAGAGAGCGAGAGATCGCCGCCCGTTAGAACTCTTTTTTTTTCGTACTTCTATACCCAAACATCGAAGCTTCGCCTCTGTCCGAGGCCTGCTCCCATCTCAGCGAATCGTCTGAAACGCGAGATTTGAGCTGAAACGAGGCTCTTGTTTGATCACAGCCGTCGGCGCGTTTACTAGATTTAGGAAACTATTCAAATTGAGTCAAAAGCCAATTGGAATTTATTTAGGATTAATCCGGGTTGATTTGAGTTAGGTCTGATTCAAATCAACTTGATTTAGAATTAGGCTAGGTTCGATCAATTTGATCAAATCAAATTAAAGACGATTTGGGTCAAATTGAACTAGTTATAGTCAAAACAAATTAAACATGATCGAATCTAATTTGACTCAATTCGGATCGACACGAGTTTGAATTGGGCTCGAAGATGATCAATTGCATCGATCGAATGTACTCGGGGGCACTCGAGCGAAAATCGAGGTCAATAATATGAAAATAGCAATATTAAAGTTGAACTGGCCACTACTTGGCATATGGCAGAAAAGCAATAACTAAAAGTAATAATGCTAAAAGCTGCAGAGAGGGAGTGGAGGTTGTAGGTTAAATGGAATGATGGCATTGAGATGTGCTCCAGTACCACGATAAGCCACATCAGGTCTCCCCGGTCGTGGAAGATTCCTCACCTGAGGAAATAGATTGGACCATACCTGCTTGTTGTTTGTAAGTGTGATTTGCTGCTTCTAGTTTGTCCCGTACACTTTGTAGCATTTTAGTGTAAGCTTCGGTAGTAATGGCTGCTACCCTGCTCTTGCATTGTGGCAAAACGACTACATCCACTAAGTGATTAGGTCACTTAGTATATACAATGCTGAACGGGCATTGCCCAGTTGACCGGTTCGTCATAACATTATATGCGAAGTCAGCTTGGCCGAGGTAATCGTCCCATTTCTTCGGATGCACATGAGCCAAACAACGCAGCATGTTACTTAAGGTGCGGTTCACGACCTCCGTCTATAGAACTTAACTCCGTTGAGGAGTGTGAGAGAGCATAAGCAATCCTCCTGGGTCGAAGATTTTGCGTCTTTTAAACATATCCGCAAGCTTGTTCATCAGTCGATTGAATTCTTTTGGATTTCCACAAATTTGCAAGCCTCCATTAATAGCAATAACAACATAATTGGCACTTGGAATTGATTCTTTATCCCATCTAGAATCGCATAATAAGCTCCTGACTCCATCCACAAACTCTAGTGCCATTTGAGGCAAATGATTATTATTGAACTCACCAATTAAGGCATTCCATAAGAAAAGATTCTTCTCAGCCATTTCATCAAACACTTTACTGGAACTTTTGATGTCACCACATTTAGCATGCAGGCTCATTAAACCATTGGAAATATAGGCAAATGGCTCAAAGCCATTACGAATGGCACCTCTAAAGTGCTGAAAAACCTCATCTCCATAATAATTTCTTGCAATTTCAAGCTTCACGTGTGCATTTGTCATCGTGCTCCAAGAGACTAGGCTTTGTGTTTCCATTGACTCTGCTGTGTTAGACCATCCGTTTTGACTTATTATTGAAAATAAAATTTGGCCAAAGAGAAGTTCTGATAGCTTTGAATTAAAGTCATCATAATCATGCCTTTGGACACCAGGAACCCCAAGCATCTCGAAGTCGAATGGATCAATCCTGACTAGCTTTTGCTCACGATTAGTCGTGGTATTTGCCGGTATCATTTCAACTTCTCCAGCATCGTTCATCACGTTCCCATTCACTTCTGCAAACTCCAGACTACTGGACAAGCGTAATTTAATATTGTTTTTTTGCATTGGATTGAAGTCCGTTTCCACTAACGGCAAGTGCAGCATTCTCGCCCATGGCAATTTTATTGTAAAGTGCGACGTGGTGAAGCTTCGTTTGTTGTCGAGGGTAGAAAAAGCAGAGAAGCCGCGATCATATTGCACAACACCCAAATGATTACTTTTGGAGATCCATATAAATTTGCCTGACATATGCGCTACTTTGTCAATGGCATCATCTGATATATCGAAATGTAAATCGACCAAGATGACATCAGGCTTGACTTTGTCCGAACTGGTAATCAGTTGATTACTTCCTATTGTCGTAGAATCACGCTGGAGTGGATTTGGATCGTGGGCTTGGGTCGCAGGTTGATTGCAGACCGGGTGGCGAGAAGAAGTTGAGGGATGTTGCGAATCTGGAAGCAAAAACAAGGTTGGGCACGCTGGAGGCGCGCGGATCTGAGTCAGAGGTCAATTTGTGCGGGCGGGAGGTAGAGAAGCCCCCACAAATCGCTCTTCCTCGACGATGTTAGTATCAGCGATGGGGTTGAAATCGACGTTGAGCTGCGGTTGTTGTTCTGTAAGTAGCTCAACGTAACTAGATGATGACTTCTCGATGTTACTGTTGACTGTAGTGAATGGAGGATTTTTCTCGTCGTCGACTTCACAAAACGACTTATCAGTGGTTTCAAACGTGGAGTTGGGCATGGTATTGCGGGAGCTGAGCGGGGCCGGACCGTGATCATGTGGAGTGGCAATGGCGGTTGCTTCTTCTGGTTCAACAGCAATTTTGCAATCTCGCTGGAGTGGGACCGATTGCACGGACTTGTTGAGGAAGCAAAAGGAAGACGCCGGGATGAACATATTAGGAGCGAGCGGCGATGGAGAAGTGACATCGGCGGTTGTTTCGTCGGATAGAGAATCACATGTCGAGTGTTGCGGATGCGGAAGCGGCAAATCGTGCTGGAGTTGTTTTTGGAACCCTTCGCGATTGTCCTCTGAGTCTGAGATAACTGGAATGGTTGTGTGGAGTCGACAGCCAAGGTGTGGACGCAGTGCCGGTGTGGTTGCCGGCGGAACTGGTCTGCCAACCGCCTGTTGTGTTCAATTCGTCCTCAGGGATTGAATCTCGGTCTTCATTTCCATAGAGAATCGGAAAAACTCAGTGGTAAGTATTTCCAGGTGACGAGCAATGTTTGCTTGCATCGCCCACATTGCCTCCAAGCTACGATCCTCTTTGATTGTCGGACGTTTGCTTCCCTCCGCCATTAAGCTCGAGACCGAGCTCTGATACCAAATGGTGTGAAAACCGGAGCAAACCTGCACAGAACAGAAAACAGAGAAGAAAGAACAGGGAGAAGAAGAAGAACATGGAGAAGAAGAAGAAGAAGGGTAGAATAGAAGGAGAATAGGTATAAAGCTCAAATATCAGTATTCAATTCTATTTTGTCTCTTGCTCCCCACTAGTACATAAGTAATACTCTAATAAAACGAAATATGAAAATAGCAATATTAAAGTTGAGCTGGACACTACTTGGCATATGACAGAAAAGCAATAACTAAAAGTAATAATGCTAAAAGCGGCAGAGAGGGAGTGGAGGTTGTAGGTTAAATGGAATGATGGCATTGAGATGTGCTCCAGTACCACGATAAGCCACATCACATCTTTTATGAATATGATTTCTCTTTTATGAATATGAATACTATCTTTTCCAGTGCCAGAACAATTCTGCTTAGACCTAAGATCATTCAAGTTCTTAATTGCATTCATGGCGTTGAGTGCTAATTACTATGACATCGGATCATCTCAATCTTACAACAATACGTGAGCAAAGTTTTCAAAAATAACATTTATCCAAGAAATATTACATGATACACCCTCGTACAAATAAACATCCAATCCAAAATGTAAGGAAACAAAAAAAAAATTACAAAAAGAAGAGAAATTAGTCCATTAATCCATCAACAAAGCACCTCTTAATTGTGATCATGGCAAATTAATTAGCACTCAACGCCGCACTGCTTCAGAACAGGACCCTTCTGCTTAGGCAAGAAAGGATCAATCCTGACCCAAACCAAAGAGAAAATCGAGGCCAGAAGAACAGACCAAAGCACGACAATGGTCGGCGTCCTGTTCTGTCTCCCCATCAATCCCTTCAAGAAAGGATAGAGATGAACGATCACCCAAAAGGCGAAGAAAAGCTTTCCGAATAGAGGACCCCAGGAGCCGTAGCCGTTGTTGATGGCGTCGGAAACGCCGGCGACGACGCCGACCATGTTGATGATGAGGAGAGTGGTGGGGGGGATGAGCAGAGTGGTCCACTTGAAGAGGTAGAGTTCGCCGAAGTCGGCGTCTTCGGAGGCTTTGGAGGTGACGGTGAAGTTGGAATCGACGCCGGCGAGGACTTTGAGGAGGCCTTGGAAGACGGCGAAGAGGTGGGCTGAGACGCCGCCGATGACCCAGAATTGCTCGTTCCTCCACCAGTCCTGGATGCTGACGCCGCTCCAGCGGAGCTCCAAGATGCCGGTGGCGATGATGGAGGCGAAGAGCGCGATGAACCAGATGCTCGCCAGGTTGTTCAGCTGCAATGCAGTAAATTGTTATTCATGAATCAAACTTTACCCAAAGTAATCAAAAACCATAATTTTCACCTAATAATCTCATTCCAATCAAGTTACTTAATAATTACCGTGGGGATGATGAACTTTCCGGTGAGCAAACAGACGGCCGGGATGGTGCAGTAAGCAAGCAAAGGAATGGAAGTGAAAGGATAGACGATGGTGTTCGTGTATGCGAATCTCTCCAGCCACTTGAGATTTCCTCCATAGCCGTACCACAACGGGCAATGCCGGCTGAGGAAGATCTCGACGGAGCCGAGAGCCCACCGGAGAACTTGGTGCAGCCGGTCGGAGAGATTGATCGGAGCCGATCCTTTGAAAGCCGGCCGATTTGGTGTGCAGTAAACCGATCTCCAGCCTCTGCAGTGCATCTTGAATCCCGTTAATATATCTTCTGTCACCGAGCCGTATATCCATCCGATCTGCAATTGAAAGCAATGAATGGGGCCAAACATAGGAGTAGATTAGTTATCGATTGTTCTATGTTAAATATACATTTTTTAGTTAAAAACTCGGCTAAGTATATCCTAATGAATATCAAATATTAACATGGGAGTGTCAAAATAGGGAGAAATATTTCTGTGCGAAGTTCGGATGTAGAACGTCACCTGGAGATCAAGTAAAATACACCACATCAGCGGTACTGAGCCGTGGTACCGAACAGTACCGAGCAGTACTGAGCCACGACACCAAGCGAAGGGGTGACCTGACGCATTATGGTTGTCTCTGGACGGCGTTAGGTGTTCGCAGAATAAACAATCCAAAATAGGTTAAAGGGTCTTTGTTCTTTTGGAGAATTAAGGGACAACGATCGAACTTACACAGAACACAAGACCAAGGAGAGTTGTATAAGGAATTGTTTCACGTTGACCTAATTAGATAAGCGGACAAAAGGCGAACTTGAACTATCCAGATGATTGGAATCCAACCCGATAACCCATTTGATTAATTTTTTTTTAACTTATTAGCTTTAGATTTTAGGTTAATTATAAAAAATAAAAAAATCATACCAATAAGCAAAATGATTTAAGGTGAAAAAATAAACCGGCCATTTTTAGTTCAAAATAGAATTTGTGATACAACTAGACCCTATCTCGCCAATTAAAGGGGTCAAAATTTTAGACTAGATCTCACCTCATTTATGAAATCAGTCAATTTGACCCCGGCTTTTTGGGCCAAATTCAGTTGATGAGTCAGATCATTTATTGGCACTTCTATATAAACATATGATTTTTTTTATTTTAATTATCTTAGGAAACAATAATTGCCAAGCAAATAACTTTAATTTTTTTTTTATCATTGTCAATCTGACATCTTATGAGTACAATATAAATTTATTTAATTTTTAATATTTTTTCTACTCGTTTCAAATAAAATTTAATAATTATAAAACTCTACTGAATTCCCTAAAATGTAATCAGAAAATCCTAATTGAAATTTTGTTGCAAAACAAAAACTATAGAACATAATTACCTCTTTGCCCCACTCTGTTTTCTCCTCATAGCTACAGCTAATGACATGAATGGCTTCCTTGATAAGCACGGTCTGGTTCGTCCCCTCCGGCATCCCGCCGTCCTCCATTAGCGTGGAAGCAATGAAAACTGGCGACTGACCGAACCGCTTCTCGAAGCTCTTCTGAGACATAAGCGACGACTTCTCCAAGTCATCATACCCTTCCAATCCTTCCTCTATCTCCTCTAACTCGAATCCTCTCTTCATGTATCCCTTCCTGCTCCCAGGCGTCGCTTCCGCCGCCATATATCCTTTATTCTTCTTCATCTTCTTCTTCTTCTTCCCGAAAAGCCGAATGCTGCTGAAAGCTGATGACTTTCTCTCTTCGTCGGGGAGGCCAAATCTCGTGGTTTTGGACTTCGCCTTCTTCCTCGAGCCACCACAGCAGCAGCAGCAACACCAGGAGGGCCAGCAGTCGCAAGTCATCTTCGGGCGCTTCTCGGTCTTGGGTGGATCGTAGCCGTAGAGAGCCTGGCGGTTGAAGACGCATCCGGTGCCGACGTAGACCGGACCTTGGATCCCATCCAATCCCTTCATATTGATCTGATTACAGCAAATATCGAATTCTACTGAGTTTAATTTCTGTACTTCACAATCATTGTAAGGTAAGGGGTACTCACATCGAAGAAGACCACGTTCCGATTCGCATATCGATCGTTGAGATCAATGCCATCGAACCTCTGAGGAAACTGCACGTAGCAGAGCTTCTTCCCAAGCTGAGGGTCCATTAGAAAGCACATAGCCTCTCTAATGGCCTTGCTGTTGTTTATGTAGTGATCGCAGTCCAGATTCAGGATGAACGGAGCATTTGTTAACACGGCCGAGCATCGAACCTATTGCAGATTAAATAAATTAACTATTTTTATATATAATTAGTGCTAAAGCATCTCTTAATGATGGTAATTAAGCTAATACCAGTGCGTTCATGGCTCCTGCTTTCTTGTGATGCTGGTAGCCAGGCCTCTTCTCACGAGAAACATAAACCAGCTTGGGCAGCTCCTTGCCTTCTACGTCAAGCGCGCCCTGGCTTCCCAGGTATACCTAACAACATAATGAATCAATGTGTCAGGTTACAGGTGTATGGCACCTGATACGTGTCAGGTTATTTATATGGGTAAAAAATGGAACCTGGATCATGCCGGGATGGTCCCTCGTGTTGTTCCCAGGCCAAGGCGTGCCATCCTGCATCACCCAGCCCTCTTCGGGCTTCTTCTGCGCCTTAGCCACCAATGAGTTCATCCTCACCTTAAACTCCTCATATTCTCTCTGCACACACCAATATTTATTTATTAAATAATAATTAATCAACATTAATACAACTAATAATAATTAATACATTCATTATAATTGAATCGCATAAATTAATGTGAATTTAATTAAATAAAAATTAAAATAATGAAAGAATTTGTTATATAATATATAATAAATTATTTTGAGAATAAATTCATAAAAAATGAAATTTTATTTTATTTATAAATTAAAATCACTTAATTTTATTTTATGCTATTTAAAATATAATAATAATATCATTATGTCAAGTTTTATCTTATTAATATTAATTAGGATATTCCGGACCCATCAGAGAGAGAGAGAGAGAGAGAGAGAGAGAGAGTAATTTAGCCACCTTCATGGCTCTTCGCTCCTTAACGAAGCTCGGCTGCACCTTATCCTTTAGATAATCAATCTTCTCCGAGAAATAAAACTCCGGCGCCCTCGGCTCCACCGCATGCTTCTTACAAAACGGCACCCACCGCCGCGCGAACTCCGCCGTCTCCGCCAGCGCGTCGAACAGCAACATCGACGACCCATCATCAGAAACGTAGCAGCTGACTTTTTCGACGGGGTAATCGACGGCCAGGATCGAAAGCACTGTGTTGGCAGTGATGATCGGCGGCTCTTTGAGCGGATCGACCGTGCTGACGAAGAGATCGACGGCGGAGAGCCGGGATTCGAAGCGGGCCGAGAGGCGGTCGAGATAAGTCTCGCGAGTGACGGGCAACCATTTGGGAAACTGGTCGAGGATCCACGAGAAGGCGAACCAGATTTCGCAGATGACGGAGATTAGCCAGAGGGCGAAGGCGTCGTCGGCGGGAGTGGTGATGCGGAAACGGAGGAAGAAGGCGAGGACGACGAGGCGGATGATGATGACGATGCGGTATGGGTTTATTCGGCTTGAGGGGATTGGGACTTTGCGCCATAGGGGTTGCCGGGCCTCCGCCATGCTGACAAAGTAAGCTTAGAACTTGTTAGCTCGCTTTCAACTTCCTTTGTTTATTATAAAATAAGGTTCGAAAAATCATTATATTTATTTTTAAATTAATGTAATATACTTATTAGAGTTTATTAATTCGTTATAAATTAATGGAAAAAATACTGATATTTTTAGTAGAAAAAAAATCACATTAGATATATTGATTTAAATAAAAAATTCCTAATAATTTTTGTTGTTAAAATCAACGAAAAAATAATAATCAAATAGAAATTGTGACTGAAAAATAAAATAGTGAGAAAAATTATCCCTATCAAAATCTTATCTTGAGATTAGTATTTCTGGCATAAAAATTTATCTCGCACTAATCTTAAAGCAAATTCAATTAATGCATATTTTTTAGATTTATTGGGATTTAGGAAGCTAGCTATTGTAAGATAATGGAGAAAGTATTCAGTTGGATATTCTCATTAAGTTAAGGCTACAATGATATTTTTATTAAATTAAAAAAAAAATGTAAGATACCTTACATTGAAAAATTGCATATGAATTTTTTTTAGTACCATTGGATTTGCTTTGAGATTAATGTTATACATAAGAAAATTTATTTTGCACTAATCTGAAGATAAACACTGGCATTGAAGTCTTTCATGATTTAATTTATATCAAGATAGTCATATATAATTTTTATTCTTTTATTATATTTAAATAATAAAAAATTAAATGATCTTGATTTGTAAATAATAAATTAATAAATTGAACATTTGATATAAATATATAATCATGATAAAAGGTAAAATATTTAGATATTTATATGTAATTAGTTGAATAACTATAATATTAGATGATGAAACAAAAATTCTTTAAAATTTATCGTTAAAATATATGTTTTTAATATTTGTGATAACATAATAAAAGATTAAAAGACTAACCATTTATTTTAAGATATATGTAATAGGAATTTATTAAAGAAGGAGCATGAGGTTTAATTAAATTAGGAATAGAAATACAATATTAAATAAAATTTTAAAAGAAACAAATTAGTCAAATAGAATAGCGCATTCCATTGAATGCATCAAATAATTTGACGTATTTAGAATGCGCCAAATAATTTGACACATTGCTACAATACTTGTGAAATTTAATTCGGTTAACTAGGCTAAATGCACCAAAATGCATCAAATCATTTGGCAAATTCTTTAGAATGAGCCATTCTGTTTGGCTAGTTTATTTCTTTTTAATTTTTTTTAAATGCATGATTCTATTACTAATTTAAATTAAGCATTATGCTCCTATTTATAATAATAAATAAATAAATAAAATATTATTGCACTTACTATAATACAATATTTATTTCTCCTTTTTTTTGTCTTTTAAGGTGAATTGTTGTTTATTTTTAGGGGTCTAAAATAATACTTTTAAGTAAAATAAATTTATGCTTCTTTTTGGATAGTTTTTTATTGTTTTTTGAAGGGGGGTTTTTGCTAAAACAAAATTTAATTTATTTTTTTCTATTAAAAAATTACTTCGAAAAATAGTAATAAAAATGTCCCAAATAAAACCTTACTCATTTGCTATTAACACCTCCATTTTCCTTTATAGTTTATCATTTCTATTTCTTCTTTCCATGAAAAGTATTGGCATATATAATTAGATTAATCAAACTGCATTTCTTTTAATTTATAGCTAATGATAATCAGGCTCTGCAAGTGAAAGGATTAGATAGCTCACAGCATGTAGTCTTCTTCAATCTCCTGATCATTATCATCTTCTTCTTCTTTGTCTGTTAGTCCTCTCTTCTCCTGCATCGCTTTCCATTTCTCCAACCTTTCTCTCCATTCCATGTTGGCTTCCATCTCCCTCTCGGCTTCTAAATCCTTCCCAGCAACTGCGAATTTAAGGCAATTGCAGGCTTAATTAACTGGGCATGCATATTAATCTTCTTAATAATATTGTAATGAGCTCCTAATCGTCATTAATTACCACTCCCAAAGGAAGAATAAGCTGCAACATTGGTCCTCCATTGATGAGCTTGCTCGCTTTTTAGCTGCATATGAGAAGCATATTGTGGGAATTAAAGAAGAACTAATTCAATAATGGAAAGCAGAAATTAGAAAGAAGATAGAAGAATAAAATATATTAAGATTTTAGTTTTCTTTCAGATAAATCGATCGGCTTATAATATTGCCGCTACAGTAAAATTTAATATAATTTTATTTATGTTTTTATTACGACCTAATTTATTTAGGCACATTAATATAAAGAGGGCAGCCTTTTTTTTTTAAAGAAAATATTAGGATTAGGAGGGTAAGTGTGAACTGAGTTCGATGAGCTAACATATCTAGTTTGAGCTATTTTTGACTTTACATGCTCGCTCAAAAATATTAATATAAAACACATTTAAAATATATTAGAATTTATGAGTTCAAGTGTAGAATTATTAAAAAAGTTTTAATGCAACTAAACTTGGTCAGTTGGTTGGGTGCTTTGACTATTAACGTTTTGGGTTCGAGTCTTCCGTACGTGATGTTGTGTAGGAGTTTGACTTAATTGGCTAAATGTCCTACAAAAAATTTATATCTCGTTTTATTATATCAAAGGTTTTTTTTTTTTTTTTTATCTTATAATTTTCCAATTTTTTATATTTTTATCATACTAATTATTTGAATCATAATCATTTTATCTCTTTCTTTATAATGAACCTTTAGCAACTCTTAGAATTAAACCTAAGCTATAATTCGATTAATTAAGCAAGCTCAAGCTCATTCTAGAGGCGACTCTAACTTGGCTTGACTCATTCCCACTCTTAAATAGGATAGCGAAGAAATAAATTATAATCACTAAATGAGCAACTCATGACTAGGGGTGAAAGTATTTGATACAACACGAAAAGATGACGGTTAGATCCCACGCGATCTCGAAATAGGTCGAGTTCGGGTTCCCAAATTTGATTCGTTTGAAAAAACGGGTCGGGTTCAGGTTGACCTGAAAAACCTAAATTCAAACCGCTTTGACCCTTTTGCAAAAACGCGCCTTGTCAAGACCCGTCGTTTTTTAGTTTCTTCGACAAGTCGATCATCATTCCATGCACGCACTGGTCCGTTGTCAAGTCATCCTTCCCGACAACCCATGGGGGTTGAGTCCCAGTTGAAATAACGAACCAGTTTGCAAAAATGAATCGAGTTCAGGTTGACCCAACTAGTGCAGGATCTATTCCGGGTTCGACCTGAGCCTGACCCGTGACTCAATTTTGACAGCCCTACTCATGACTAAGGCTTTGTTTGAGAACTTTTGTCCATTATTTTTCACTGATTTCAAGAAAAGTTTTGTACTAAAAGTTGATTTAAAAAACATTAAGAAAGCTATCTCAAGCAAAAACCGTTGTTTCATTTGGGACAAATTTTTTATAGCTTTCTAAAATTAGTTAAAATTTATCTTACTAAAAAAATTATCTTATACAGATGTTTGGGACTACTTTTTATTGCTTTTAAAGTAAAATTTTATTAAAAAATTTTAAGAAGCAATAAAAAAACATTATAATAAAAAAGTCGTTCAAACTAAGCTTAAATCTATTTCTTTTGTACAACTTCAGCATTTTAATAACGGCTGCAAACTTTCATTATAATTTTATGGTAATAATTTTTTTTTCTTTTCTATTTTTTTCAAACACATCATAAAAAAACAGACCAAAAAATCTCAAAACAACTAAAAAATATATTGAAATTATTGAAAATATTTAATAAAACAAATAGCTAATTCATCTGCGATTTACGTAGCGTATTTTCTTATAGAGCCCAAAAAAATCCTAAATTAAATATTAATTTACTATTAGAACGGACAAAAATAACCATTTTTCATTTAATAATCTGCTGCTAAAAAATAATTACCGACTGCGTATCGAATGCTTGATTATCCTGTACTGCCCTCTTTCTGCTGTTGTTTTGGAAATCTTCCACTGAATCGTCTTGTTCACCCTCATCTTCTTCATCTCCGTCAACTCTCGGACTACCTGCGCGCATTTTAATCATCTCTATAAAAAAACTCAATAAATAACTCCTAAAATTAATATTAAAAAGTGCGTTTATATTAGGCTTCATTTGGGACGACTTTTTTAAGCAGCTTTCTCGTACAAAAATTTTAATTTTTATACTAAAATTTTTTTTAAGAAGTAATAAAAAATAGTCTCAAATGAGGCCTTAATTCATGTACTAAAAAGATGTTTTAAGTAGTAAGAAAGTCTTTCAAATAAAAATTTTGTTTGGGACAGCTTTTTTGAAGATTTTTTAAAAGAGCTTTCTAGTATAAAAGTTTTTTTAATTAAAAAATTTTATACTACAAAGTCGTTTTAATAAACAATACGAGTCTTTAGACTTTATTTGGGACAACTTTCTTACTTCTTTATAAATAAGTTTTTTATATAAAATCTTTTGTGCTAAAAAATTATTTTAAAAAATAGTAAGAAAGTTATCCCAAATGAAGTTTATTTATACATTTTTAAGAGCTTAGGATGCTGATGAGTATTTTAATTATGAAGACATTTTTTAAAGAATATCTCTATAAATTCATAGTTTTTTTAAGGCATTTTATTACATAGCCAATATTTAACTAATTAAATGATACACGCAACAAATTAATATACTTCACAATTACAACATTGGGGTATTTTTTTTAAGCATAAGACTTTCCAATACAATAATCAATAATTAAAAAAATAAATTATAGGTAATTGAATGTCATCACTCAAATGTTAGTTTATTATATTTCATTATTTTGACTAAGTCTTATTTATTTTGTCAAATCTATTATTTTTCCTTTAAAATATATTTTGTTAAACTATTTATTGTTTTTGAAAAAAATGACATATTTTATTTGTAAGAGAAATTTTTTTAAAAAATCTATTATTTTAGAAAAAAATCAAAATAAATTATAATTGAAATACATTATTCAATATATATATATTGTAAATTTATTATAATCACACAGACTTTAATTGATCAGAAAAAAAAAAAAAACCTTTAAGACGCTTATAACGCCTGTTGCATTGCGGGCAGGTCTGGCTCCCCTCCCTCCGCTCATACTCATAGCACGGCCGGCAAACCGGGAAGCCACACTCATTGCAAGCCACGAACACCTCGCCATTCTCCTTCAACCCAATCTCGTCGCTGCAAATCCTACAGACTCCGACTTCCCTCTGCACCTCCCTACCCTCCTTCGCCGCCACGACGAAACCGCCGGCGGTGGACTCCATGCTGAACTGAGAGAGAGAGAGAGAGAGAGGAGCGCAAGGTCTTAAGGAGATGCAGAGATAATACAGAGGAACTGTCACCACCTTGAGAGTTGAGCGGTCGATGACATATTGGTTGAGAGATGAGAGTATTAGGTGCGGTCCGATCGATCGAGCGGCTCGATCGATCGCTTGAGGTCTACGTTGGGTGGTAGGGGAAGAAGAGGTGGGTGAGATGTCAGCCTGCACTTTACTTGAAGTTAAAGACTTGTACGTGCGTATGTCTTAGTATTTTTAGCAATATTAAATATGCTTTGCTTTCATTCTTTGGTGTTGATGAAATGATGTTCGCAAGTCATGATCTAGCTTCACTGTGTTGGGTGGATGATTTTGATATAAGTCTTTGAGTTAGGCTTCATTTGAGACCATTAAAGTAAGGCTTCGGTTGGCACAGTTTTTTATCAATATTTTTCACTTCTTTCAAAAAAAAATTGGACTAAAAAGTTGTTTTATAAAGCCGTAAGAAAATTGTCTCAAACAGAGGCTAAATTTTGAAAGTAGCTTCTAAGCATAAAATTTTTTGGAGTAATCAAAAATTTGTAGTTGAATAAAAATTATGATTGTGATTTGAAAAATAAAAATAAAACAGTAAAAAAATTATCTCAAATAAAACCTTAGACTTGTATGGTATATGAGTTGATTGATGGCCTAACAATATGCAATTAATACGATGAATTAATTGATTTATATGTCCTAAAACATGACTTGGTTATAAATTTGACCTATTTGCTACATGAATGCGACTCTCTTGTGATTATTCATCGGTTACAAAGAAGAATTTTTTTTTTACTAGCTACGATTGTTATTGACCAACCTGCCTCAAAGTATTTATTTCCCTAGTACATAATAGTGGATGATCATTTTGTGGTTGACATTGGTTGCAAATCACTCTTTCATGTTCCCTTTGGCGACCATTTTGTGATCGAAGTCATACTCAAATCCAAAACCCCCAAAGTTTGATCTGTGATCCCAAAACTATCTTTTACCAACGGAGAAGCAAAAATAAAAAGCTTCACAAATCGGTACAATAATGGAGATATGAAAATACAATTTTATAAAAAGTATGCATCCAAGCAACAACCGACATCTTTTTTCACGTTCCAAAACAAAAATGACACTAATTACACCAAAACAAACCAATCCTTTGTTTATAATTGCCTCATTGCCACCAACGACCAATGGAATAATATGAAAGAAAAGTAATATAATCCTTTGTTTACACCATATGCATTATGATTAAATTCATCCTCTAATATAAATCCCAAATGCACTTACACAAGAAAAAAACCAGAAGTCTAAGGTTATACTTAAGTAATCTGTATTCTACCCAACAAATCAATAAAAAAATTGTGTAAATAATCTCAACATCATTTAGGTTGGTCATTCAACATCAGAAATAGTTTAAAATATTGGGGAAGATAAAACACAAAATCAAGATTGGCACATTTGGCTGCCATAAGCACATTTAGAATAGAAGGTCAACCAGTTTAATGCTATCAATGTCCAGAACATAAAACTGTTAGGTGTCTCTTCCAACTGCCATCTCCTCAGCTGCAACTCCTCAATCTTTTAAAACCAGCTTCTCATATGATTTGCAAACTTTAGTGTCTTTATTTCATAGTTTTAGGGCCTTGCTTTGCTTTTTAAGTGTTGCATTCTTTGATTTCTAATTCCGAGATCTTCGACGCTAATCTTAGCAAATGTTGTTATGATAAATTTCTTCAAATTTATAAAGATTTAGGGTCTGTTTGGGATGATTGTAATGTTTTATAAAGTTGACTGTGAAGTTGTGTGAAGAAAGCAGCTTTGCAATTATCGTTGCAAAAATCGGCTTTCCACCATACAAATTTCTGAAATGTTACGAGGAGGCAGCAAAAAAATAATAATAAAATAAAATTGCTGTTGCTGTTTGAAAATATAAATAGTTAGAAAGCTATCTCAAATAAATACTTAATTTTTGTAATGCGAATTATATTGTGTCCATTTTATATATGTACTGTTTTTGAGTTCATCTAACAAAAATATGAGATAAATATCAATATTTTATATAAAATAAAACTTTTAAAAATAATAATTTTGTTAAATTAATTTTCTAAATAATAATTTTATCTATAATTCTTTTAAGTTACTTATATTTGAATCTAAATTAAACTTGTTATGGTGGTATTATAATAGTAAATTATAAAGGAATATTTGATGTAATTTATTTATTCCTATCATCAAAATATAAATTTACCTTTTTTTATTGTCGGATCTAAATTTATTTTTGTAAATATAAAAAGATTTTATCATGGAAATGAATTGATATATCATCAAAAAATTATCTTGATCGGGCACGAATCTCGAGGCAAAATCAAACCAGAAACTTTAAAAATTAAATCCGGGATCACCTTAACTCTGATTTCAACAAACTAATAGTTAAACTGAGCGTCTTGGAAATACAAACCCAACGACATCAAATTCTACTCAATCCAAGACCAAATGAGTCCAAATAAATGACCTGAAGCGATGTTGGAAAGTTTGTACCACAATTTAAGTTACCAAACGGTTTTCGAATTTGACGAGCTTATAGTCAAATTGAGCGGCTCGACGAGACAAATCCAACGAGCCCAAGATGGTTGAATTCTGAAGTCATTAAAACGTTCAAATGCCCAATAAACGGTCTATGATCAAAGGATTCAATATCGGCCGTCCATCCGAACCACTCCATATTTTGCCCCTGATCCCTCATCTATTTACTGGCTATGCCACTCCAGAAAATCTATAAATAGACCCCTCATTTCTCATGAGAGGGGAACCAAGCAAGAAGAAGAGAAGTGATGCGGTGCATCAAGTCGTCCATGCAGTTTTAAGTATTATCTGGTTTAGCTATGTTATTATATGTTTTATTTCAGTTTTATTTAAGTATTTTAAATTTCCGTTAGTAGTGGATGCTCCACTAACTAACTTACCTTATTTAGTTTAGAGCAGGTCTGTTTTATTCTGCCAAATAGCCGGTTGCCATTTTGAGAAAGAACTTTTATGTATTTCTTCTCTTCCGGAGAAGATGAAGCTCTTAGTTGATGAAATATATCTTTTGGCTTTTGCCATTACTGTTCCATTGCCCTCCTTAGTTTTAGCTCTTGTGAACCTGCTTCTTCCATTGCATAGCGCATCATTTTGGTATCAGAGCCAGTGGCTTGGAGAGATGGCAGAGTCCAGCAAGCGTGCGACAAGCGAGGATAACCAAAGTCTGGAGGCACTTTGGGCTGCGCACGCTGGAGTCAAGAAGCGGTTAGAGGAAATAGCAGCTGTTGTGGATCGTTTAGCTACCGTTGTGCGCCGAGAACCACCCGTCGCGCGAACGGGAGAGCTTCCGTTTCGAACGAGACGACATGCGCCACCCATTATCACACCAGTTGAGGGAAACAGGGGATATCAGAATCGAGGCCGTCGGCGTCTGGCATTGCTTTCGGAGCTTTCAGATTCGGAGGAGGATCGTGGTAGTTTTATTCCAGAAGGATTTTCTGACTCAGATGTAGAACTGGGAGATCGTCGCCCTCGGCGTTATGCTGGGCGAGATCGGAACCAAGGTGAGTTCCGAGTGAAGTTGGATATTCCGTTTTTCGACGGAAGGCTGCACATCGAGGACTACCTAGATTGGGAAAGGTCAGTAGAAAATTTTTTTGACTATATGGAAATTGAAGCGGGAAAATAGGTCAAGTACGTGGCATGTAGACTCAAAGGAGGAGCAAACGCTTGGTGGTCACAGTTATTACAATGCCGCCGTAGGGAGGGCCGCGGACCTGTGCGCAGCTGGCTGAGGATGAAGCAGTTGTTGCGGGGACATTTTCTTCCAACTGACTACGAACAGATGCTATACCTGAAGTACCAACATTGTACCCAAGGCAATCGCTCGGTTAGCGAATATACAGAGGAGTTCTACAGTTTATCCGCAAGGAATGATTTGAACGAGACGACCAATCAGTTAGTGGCAAGATACATCGGAGGATTGAAGGATAGTATTCAAGACAAATTGGAGTTGAATTCAGTTTGGTCGCTCTCGCAGGCAGTAAATTTCGTCCTCAAGGCGGAAATTCAGTTGGGACGTCATCTGTGAAGTGGTACGCACCGAAGACAGATTGTGGAGACCGTTTCCGATTTATCAAAACAGCTCGGTACAGCTGTGCGTAAGACTCCTTTACCACCCGATAATAGTGGATTGTCTCATTCGCATAAGCCCAATTCCGACCCCAAAGCTCCTTTTAAGCCCAAATTTCCCTTTAAAGAGAACCCTTACCCGCGGCCTCAAGGACTCAAATACTTTCGTTGTTTTCAGCCGGGACACAAGTCTAAAGAGTGTCCCAATCGCCAACAATTGCAATTACTGGATGGTGAAGGTGAGGATGAAACCGACCAGCATGAGGAAGAAGTGGAAGTGGAGGATGTAATCGGAGATGAGGGGGAGCCTTTGGTATTTGTATTAGAGAAGTTGTTATTGGCTCCAAGAAAAGTCGTGGATTCTCAGCGGCATTCAATATTTAAAACCAAGTGCACCATCGCCGGCAAGGTTTGTGACTTACTTATTGACAGCGGTTGTATGGAAAATGTAGTGTCAAAAGTTGTAGTGCAAGCCTTACAGCTCAAGACGACGAAGCACCCTCAGCCCTATAAAATCAGTTGGATAAAAAAAGGAATGGAGATTGCTGTTACAGAGACTTGTCGTGTGCAGTTTTCGATTGGGAGGCACTATACATGTGAAGTGTTATGCGATGTCGTGGAGATGGATGTTTGCCATCTAATTCTTGGCCGCCCCTGGCAATTTGATGTCTGTATCATCTATGATGGGAGGGCCAACACTTACGCATTGGAGTGGAAGGGAAAACAGCTTCGTTTATTACCACACTCCACGGGAACTGAAAATAAAGCTGAAGCTGGACGGCCAGCTCTTCATATAGTCACGGGTAATGGGCTACTAGCATCATGTGAAGAAAATACGCCCCTATTTGCTCTAGTCATCCGGGAGGCCGCACCCTGCCATGACAAAGATGACCGTCAGTTGATCGAGCCACTGCTTAAGCAATTTCAGGATGTATTGAGTAATAATGTGACTACACTTCCTCCCCTCCGTTCACTACAACACCAAATAGAGTTTGTGCCGGGATCAACACTTCCGAACTTACCCCATCACCGCTTGAGCCCGAAAGAATATCAAATTCTCCAGCATATTGTAGATGACTTATTGAAAAACAATCTAATTCAACCGAGCCTCAGCCCTTGTGCGGTGCCGGCACTCTTGGTTCCAAGAAAAGACGGAAGTTGGCGAATGTGTATGGACAGTCGCGCCATCAACAAGATCACAGTGAAATTCCGTTTTCCGGTACCACGAGTAGAAGAACTGTTGGAGAAGCTGGCGGGAGCTACTATATTTTCAAAACTTGATCTCCGAAGTGGCTATCACCAGATTCGGATTCGACCAGGCGATGAGTGGAAGACAACATTCAAAACTCTCCATGGGCTCTATGAGTGGCGAGTCATGCCGTTTGGGTTGTGCAACGCTCCTTCTACTTTTATGCGGCTGATGACGGAGGTGCTCAAACCTTTTTTGAATGTCAGCTGCATAGTTTACTTCGATGACATTCTTGTCTTTAGCGCGTCGTTGACCGACCACTTGGCGCATCTGACAGAGATTTTCTCTGTTCTACAACAAAATCAACTATTCTTGAACCCGAGTAAGTGCGAATTTGCTGCTTCTACCATTTATTTCCTTGGATTTGTTATCTCGGCTGCAGGTGTTCAAGTCGATCGGTGGAAGGTGGAAACAATTACAAACTGGCCAACTCCGAAGACATTCACGGAAATTTGCAGTTTCCATGGACTCGTCAATTTCTACCGTCGGTTCATCAAAGATTTTAGCTCTATTATGGCACCAATCACTGATTGTTTGAAGCTGAAGCAGTTCCAGTGGGGTGATGACTAGGCAAGCAGTTTTGAAGAAATCAAAATGGCGTTATCTTCCACCCCGGTGCTGGCTTTACCCAACTTTGAGAAACCATTTCATGTTGACACTAACGCTTCAGGCGTCGGCATTGGAGCTGTATTAAGCCAGGAGAACCGGCCTGTGGAGTTCTTCAGAGAGAAGTTATGTCCTTCTCGTCAAAAATGGAGCGTGTACGAGCAGGAATTATATGCGGTGGTACGGGCTCTCAAGCAGTGGGAACCATATCTATTGCACCAAGAGTTTGTCTTGTGCAGCGATCACCGGGCACTTCAATTTATCAACAAGCAGAAGCACATTAATAGAATGCACGCAAGATGGGTCTTATTCTTGCAACGTTTCTCGTTCGTTTTGAAACACAAGTTGGGGAAACAGAATGTTGCAGCTGATGCGCTTAGCCGTCGCAGCTTGCTCCTTACCCAACTCCAGATAGAGATCACTGGATTAGAATGTTTAAAGGAATTATATGCAACAGATCCGGATTTTAAGACAGTTTGGGAAAATTGCCAAAATGACAATCCAAATGTTGAGTTCACCATCCGACATGGCTTTTTGTTTCGTCGTAACCAACTTTGCATACCGGATTCGTCTTGGCGACCTCAACTAATAAAAGACGTTCACTGTGGAGGACTGGCAGCACATGTTGGGCGGACAAACACTTAACTGCAGCTTCATTCCCGATTTTACTGGCCTCATCTGCATAGAGATGTCATGAGATTTGTGGAACGATGCCCCATTTGTCAAAGCTACAAAACAGGAGGCCAACTCGGAGGCTTGTACCTGCCATTACCCACGCCCGAAACAATTTGGGAAGATTTGAGTCTTGATTTTGTAATGGGATTACCCCGAACTAAGCGTGGGCATGATTCGATCATGGTAGTGGTTGACCGATTTTCCAAAATGGCGCATTTTGTGCCGTGCAAGAAGACGTTTGATGCACTAAACGTGGCGCGTATTTTCTTTCCCGAGATCGTCAGATTACATGGCTTGCCCCAGAGTTTAACTTCTGATCGTGATGTTAAATTCATTAGCAACTTTTGGAAGGACTTATGGAAACGATTGCACACCGATATCAAGCTGAGTTCAACTTATCATCCGCAAACGGATGGGCAAACCGAAGTTATAAACAAGACCTTGGGAAATTTACTTCGCTGCATAGTGCAGGAACACCCGAGGCTATGGGATGAAGTATTGGGGCAAGCAGAGTTTGCCTATAATAGCATGACAAATCGTTCTACTGGGCGAAGTCCATTTAGCATCGTCTACACTAAAAATCCCAACCACACTGTTGACTTAGCCGTGCTTCCCAAATGCAACAGCAAGCCAGCTGCTGATTTCGCTGACCAATTCACCAAAATGCTGGAAGGAGTTCGTGACAAGCTGCTAGAGTCTAATGCCAAATATAAGGAGCATTATGATAAGAGAAGAAGAGAAAGGTCTTTTGAACCAGGAGATCTAGTAATGATCCGAGTACGGCGAGAATGGTTCGCTCCAGGAACTTATTCCAAATTAAGTCCACGAAAAATTGGTCCTTATGCGGTGCTCAAGCAGATCAATCCTAACGCTTATGTCGTGGACTTGCCCAAACACTACAACACTTCTTCAACTTTCAACATCGGTGACCTTGCTGCTTACCACCCACCCGATGCAGTTGAAACTAGTCTGGTATCATCCGAATCGAACTCTTCTGTTGGTGGGGGAGAATGATGCGGTGCATCAAGTCGTCCATGCAGTTTTAAGTATTATCTGGTTTAGCTATGTTATTATATGTTTTATTTCAATTTTATTTAAGTATTTTAAATTTCCGTTAGTAGTGGCTGCTCCACTAACTAACTTACCTTATTTAGTTTAGAGCAGGTCTGTTTTATCCTGCCAAATAGCCAGTTGCCATTTTGAGAAAGAACTTTTATGTATTTCTTCTCTTCCGGAGAAGATATAGCTCTTAGTTGATGAAATATATCTTTTGGCTTTTTCCATTACTGTTCCATTGCCCTCCTTAGTTTTAGCTCTTGTGAACCTGCTTCTTCCATTGCTGTTTTGATCAAGAAGAATAAGAGAAGAAGAAGAGAAGAGAAAGATAGGAGGGAATAACTCATCCTCGACCACCGCGCGCTTGAGTTCTGCCCGACACCCAAGTGATGCCGGAATTCTGCCAGACTTCCGAGTGACGCCGTAATTCTTCCCAAGTGGAACAATTGCATACCGCATCAAGAAGAATAAGAGAAGAAGAAGAGAAGAGAAAGATAGGAGGGAATAACTCATCCTCGACCACCGCGCGCTTGAGTTCTGCCCGACACCCAAGTGATGCCGGAATTCTGCCAGACTTCCGAGTGACGCCGTAATTCTTCCCAAGTGGCGCCGAAGTTCTGCCCGACGCCGGAACTCTACCAGACTTCCAAAGGATGCCGAAATTCTACTCAACTTCATAACGACGTCAGGATTCTGCCCAACCTCTGAAGGACGCCATATTTATGTTCGATCTCCAAGTGAAGCCGAAACTCTGCCCAACATTGTAATTCGATTTCAATTCGGAATTGAAGCATTATAATTTAATCGTCCTAAATTTTAAGGATGAATCAACCTCTTGTACTTCAGACAAACACTAGTGGAATTATTTCAACTGGGCGTGGCCCCGTGGTTTTTTCCCTTTCCAGGTTTTCCACATAAAAAATATGGTGTTTTTTTTTCTTTTCTGTTTGTGAGCTGGATATCCGTACAACGATGAGACGGAAATTTACTAACTCTATCGCCGCGTATATTCTAGCCCGCAACATGAATCATCCTCGTAGAATGAGGAGAGAGAGGTTTTATATTAATGGTTTATTTTAATGGTTTTTTAGATAATTGGTCTACAAAGAACCTTTTGGCTTGGAAAGAGGCATTGTTATGCTTGTATAGTTGTATTAGAGGATTGATCGCTTATGACAAATGAAATCTATAAGCCTTTGAGGATAATTAATTAAATTCTTGATATTTCTTCTAGCAAAAAAAAAGAGAGAGAGAGAGACTTTGAAGTAAACTTTATATTAATGAACACCTATATATGTTCAACTCGAGAACGACGAGAAGACAACGACTCAAATAAAAATAATAAATTTTGTCTTGTTTGCTTAATGAGCCGAGTCGAAAAATACTTCAACTCACTCAAACCTAACTCTTATAACATATGAGATGCTTAGCTTAAGACTCAAGATATCTCAAAATTTTGAAGGATCCTAGAGCTACATTAGACCGGCCACCACCTGAATACACCATTGGAGCATCACCTGACTATGTTTATTGCACTATCATAATTTGATCATCATCGCCCAATAACTGTTGTCGGACCTCCACCATCCAATCTTTAATTATGATCCATTGACCATCATCACCTAACTAAAGTCCTTCGACCATGATCATTTCACTACAATCCTCCAACCATTATCACTCGACAATTCTAACATTGCCTTAGTACAATCCTTTAAGCACCATCCCTTGACTATGATCCCCGAACACCATCACTCAATAACCATTCTTTGATTATCTTTGTTTGAATATAACCTTTCATCCACAATCATCTGACTACGTATCTTCAATCATCATTGTCTAACTATAATCCTCCTGTCATCATCGTTCAATTATAGTCCTCTGACCGCAGTCGTCCAACTATGATCCTCCAATCACAGTCGCTACTCTATGAGCCTCTGACCACCATCACCTAACAATAATCTTTCGACAACTTTGGCCCCACCATAAACCTCCAACCAACATAACATGATTATCATTCGATTCTCGTTGTCCGACTAGTTCTCTTACTTGTGTCGCCTGATGTAGTCCTTCAACCACTATCATTAGACTAAGACCTTCTGACCACTATTAACTGACTACAATCATTTGACCACCATCGTGTGACTATGGTCTCCTAACAACTACCACCCTGTTATAATTTCCCAACCATCATCGCTTAACTAGGATTTCCTAACTATTGTCACCACTCTAATCTTCTGAACATTGTCACTCAACTACACCATGCTTGTTGAATTTATTGCCAAATATGACCAACAACATTGACAACAACACTGCTTATAAATTTGATTTATGTCATAATAACAGAGGCTAATGCCCACCATCAGGGGCGGATCCAGCCTTTTTTTTTTAGGGATTTATGTATTCTTACAGCACTTTATTTTTTATATCATTTATGTCTTTGATTCTTTTATTCAGGGGCGGATCCAGCCTTTTTTTTTAGGGTGGGCAAATTCCGCACGCTCTTTCCTCTTAAAAAATCGTTACATTTGTAGAAAGCCTTTAGGCTACAATAAAAAAAAAACATAAATAATTAAGTGGACTTAAGGTTCATTTCTTCATTTTTATGTTCGAATTTCATAACCTGTGTTTCTTACTTTAACTTTTTAATTGCCTACAAACACAAGGTTCATCTTAGTTGGTACTAGAAAACAACAACTCAAAGGCCCTAAAGTAAAAATGCACCTTGAATATACAATTGATACAAAAACAAAATGCACCTTTTAGGGCCCTCAGCACAATAGCCCAGAAGACCCACGAGATTCTAATGTCTCACACTTTCGATGGCTTCTTTCTCCACCTTGAATTCCCTCTCTGCATGACGAGACCCCTATAAAAGGCATTTAAATTTTTTAAATCACTTTGCACAAGGAAAAAACGTTTGCACAGTTAAAAATGACTCTTGCACTTGCTCAGAAAAAAAAAAAAATTGATGCTGCTGAATATCATATACGCTTGCAGACAAACACCCAAAAAAACTCAATATAAACCAATGTTGCTGATTAGCAGTTCAATATTCAATTAAAGCATTCAACCCCGAAAAAAAAAAGCAAAGGAACTTAAAGGCATGAAGCTCGAACGGTAAAAGCGAAGGCCAAAAGGGTGAGTAGAATAGTAGATTACCTGTGTGAAGGGAGTGGCTTCGAGTAACCTCATGCCTCCCGGCTCCGCTGGCTTCGTCGGCGTGTCGTGTGCGGTGTGCAGCGTGCGGCGTGCTGCGTGCGACGGAAGAAACGTCACGAACGAACTCAAGCGTGAGTTGGGCAAAAGCTTTATATTAGGGCAAAAAAAGTAATTTTAGGGGGGGCAAAGGTCAAAACTACCCCCACCTCTTATTCTTTTTTGCACTTTGAGGGTGGGCAATTGCCCACCCTAAAAGCAACGTCGATCCGCCAGTGCTTTTATTTATTTGGATTTTAAATAGCTAGATATTTTTGTTATTGGGCCTATCATTAGATTTGTTTTGGGATGTCAATTCGGATTTACGAATTAGGTCCTGTTTTGAATTGAATTTGACCAATTTCGAAACTTTATGATCCAAACCTAATCCATTTATTAAATGTTTTTTGACCGAATATGACTGACATCCCATGTTCCATAAAAACACTTTCAACTTCCACCATTAAATCTATTCTATACAGCTTATGTCTACTATGTTAAATCAATTTTTTTTTCTTTTTTTTCTTTTATGTACTATGAAATGGTTTATATTTTAACTTAGCTAAAAATCAAATAGGATTAATCAAATTGAAATCAGATTTAATTTGATTAATAAATTTATTTTTTTTCTAATTTTATAATCAAAATTAATTATTTTTTAAACTAATTTACAAGTCAGATCATCCAAATTATCATTAACCCTTGGCACCGCAGAAAAGCTTTTCCGGTCGCATAGAGGTGCTACTTCGTCGTGTTGCTTTGATCACCCGTTGTCATGCTCTTCAACACTGATTTAGGAAAACCTAGAAATTTTCTCTCCCGTTCGGCGTGGATCAGGAAACCCTAATCTCCTTAATTGGTTGGAGGAGCACTTGGGAAGAGAAGATGCTGTTCCAGGTGGGAGGACAGGGAACGCGGCCGACCTTCTTCGAGATGGCGGCCGCGCAGCAGCTTCCGACCAGCCTTAGAGCCGCTCTCACTTACTCCCTTGGTGTAATCATCATTTTATCTTCCTACTCCTCGCGCCTCCAGTAATTTTGATGCTCTTGTTATGTGTATCTTGCTCCCTCTCAAGTTAACATAAGGTTGGAGAAATGTAAAGTTTCCGAAGTCTATTGGCTCTTAGAGCACTACCTGTATCGTGGTGTGAAGAGTTGGTTATTAAAATTTCTAAAATTGATTTCGTGTGCTCTTTGATTGTTGGTCTTTAATCTGCTTGCATGGTGATCGTCTTGAAATCAAGGCCAATTCATATTTCTTGAGCTTGTGTTGCAGGTACTTGCCTTAAGAAGGCCATTCCTCCACAAGATTTTAGATTTTGATGACGAGTTCTTTGCCTTGTTGATGATGGTTCTTGAAAGTCACAGCTTAAGAACCACAGGTTTGTGTTCATCATGCTGTTTGATGTTTTTTCCCCACTATTTCATATTGGTAGATTCGGAATAGTTTTTATGAATCTTAAAATGATAATAATAAGGATAATAATAATGATAATAATAATAATAATAATAATAATAATAATAATAATGATAATAATAATGTTATATAATAGGTTATCTTTCTTGTATTCTTAAGAGTAAATATTACTATTCGTTGCATTTAAAGGTAATTCCTGCCTGCTAGTCTTCCATGGCTTCTGCTCTAAATATGATAGTCCACTCCTCTGCTTGATATGATGACACACCATATAGGGGGAATGAGTTAGGTATTTGTAGCAAATATAAAAGAAAAATAGACCAAATTTGAGCCTACATCCACTCTTTATTGCTCCTCGAAATATCTTCAACATATAAACTTCTTTAAACCTTGCGATTAGGGCTGCAAGCGAACCAAACGTTTGACGAGCTACTCGTTGTTCGGTTCGATTAAAGTTCGTTTGCGATCGTTTAATTAACTAAACAAACAAATTTGAAAAATATTTTAAATACTCGATTCTTAAATAAACAAACTTGAACACTAATCTGTTCGGCTCATTTATGTTCTCGAACAACATCATTTGATGTTCGTGAACAAGCTCGACATTAAGCTCGATAAGAAGCTCGATAAAAGCTCGATTCGTGTTCGATTTTGAACTCGTGAATAAGCTTGATAAAAATAATTAATATTTGACTATAGAATTAATAAATATAAATAATCATTGCCTTTGTTACATAGACAATTGCTTTTATTATAAATGTGTTTTTTCATATAGATGTGTTCATGAACGTGTTTATTTGATAGTTAAAAAAATTCGTTAAATATGTTCGCGAACAAGCTCGATAAACACTAAACGAACGAACATGAACTGAACATGAACCGAACATGAACACTCATTAATTTAAATGAATCAAACATGAACACAAACGCTAAAGCTCGAATAAATATGAACCAAACTTGAACAAGCTGATATTAAATGAACACAAACATGAACACTCACATACTCAGCTCGGCTCGGTTCGTTTGCAGCCCTACTTGCGATGCTTAATGAGTATTTTCATCATTTCCTTATCATTAGCTCCGGCATGAAACAACCCACTTATTTTTTTTCTTTCAAGTTCAAAGAGTACAAGACTCGTTTCCTTTATAGGATCAAGAACATCCCTTGAACATTTGATCATTGTTTAGCTGCCCTTTGTGAAACAGTTATGGGCTAAGGAATGACTTTCGATTAATCCTTTCTAATGTGATGTGGAGCAACCCTTATATATCATTTTTGGGATAAGAAACACCCTTCATGTCCAATAATGGAGAGGCTACCATACTACCCACTAAAATAAACAATGCAAGGGAAAAGTGAATTTTATTGGGAGTCTAGCTATACAATTATGCAAGCCAACATTTGTCTAAGAATAAATGTGATGAATGATAAATAAGCCTTAAAATTTAGACACATACGCCAAATTTGAGAACCACTGGCCTAATGAAAGCTAGAAGTTGTGCAAGAAGTATGGAGAGAGAGAGAGAGTTAGACATATATTTACTTCTAAAAAGTCGTGAAGAGATCAAATAGGTTATGAGTTTGATATATGAATGCTTGAGTTTTCAATTTGAGCATATTTAAAACGCCACAACAAGCCCAACTCTACCACCTCCAGATGTGGTTAAGTGGAAATCATGAATAAGATACTCTAAAAGATTTGACATGGCAAGCCTTGTGACCCCCAACTCAATTCTTTTGGGATGACTGGATTGGAAATTGCCCAGTTAGCTGCTACTAAGGAACGTTTAGTCGATCCTCAAGTTTGTACTTTCATAGAGATTTGATTGATGAACTATAAAAAATGCTTATGATGTTTCATGTAGAGTTGATTATGACAAGACAAGTCCAACTAGTGTGCCCCTTCAACTCCGCATGTTATTCAATATAGAAGCATGCATGCGCCTATCTAAAAGATTTCTAAAAAGGATAAGGCATTAAGGCATGTCTTCTAAATTATTATTCAAAGTTATTGGGATGATTTGATAAATGAATATTGCCAATAGTGAACCGAACATAGAGAACAAAATCCATTCTCAATAAGGAAAAACATTCCTCAAATAATCAATTTGCCATCTTAACGTTCTTGATTTGCATCTATGGGAGTATATACTTTGGGATTCCATCACAATTACTTTCTATTTGCTGCATGATTATTTTTTAAATAATGGAAATCCCTAAAAGGAGTAACATGTTTATCAAGATATTATGTTCTTTTTCATGATGCATGTGAATATGATCCTTGAGTACCTTTTATGAAGTTAGCCAATGTTTGTTATGTGATCATTCTTGTGTCCACGAGCTCTTTGGCTCTGATAAACTTCACATTCTTAGTAAAACTATTGGTCCAAGTGACAATGAACTGCATCTGATCATCAAAATTAACATAAGTTGACAATCACGTCCTCTTTTATGATGGCGATCATGTACCAAGGATAGGATAAAGATAAGTTTGAGTAAATTAGTGAACCTTCTTGAATACTCTATGTAAGACTCATGTTAAAGGAGGCGAACAATTGATAGAAAGAAATGCATGAACACTTTATAGATTTTTCATGAATTATGATCCAAAATCTCTATTGTAACATCAAATATTCTGCCCCCTTTGTAGCACCAAAAGAGAGGGAAAGATGATTACCAAGTGTCTTCTAAAATGTTAAATGCCTGCATGAAAACGTGAAATTTAGAATTCTCTGAATCTAGACTGCTATCAGCATTTTCACTAAATTGGAATATGTAAATGGGTGTGCACATTGACCCTCTTGTTACTTATCTTCTATACTAGCTTTCTTGTCATGCATAATCATGCGGTTTAGTGTTTGCACCTTGGGAAGATTTGTGTGAAATTCTTAAAAAGCTTTTGCAAAACTCAGCAAACATAGATCCTGGTAATATTGAGATCTAATTTTTTAAAGATGAATTTTGAACCGTCGCTTAAAATATGATTGAAATATGATTTGAATTTATGTTGTTATGAATAAGTTACATAGCTTCAATAGGAATGTTATTTGGTCTTTGAATATAAGACACCAAAGAAATCATTCATAATAGATTTGTTTTGCTTGCATGAATTTTTTTTACTGATTTTCTTCTAAACACATGCGATGTCATCAAAATCCCCATCAGATGAACATAGAACACCTATAATTCCTAGCTGCATTAGTTAGAAGATAGGGAAGTAGTGAAAGCCTATTGAAGTAGTTATTGGATAGTTAGATGTAAGTTTCTGTTTTGAGGTACAAGCTTTATTAACAATTTTCATTTTGATCTAATTGTTTTCTTTATTCTCTAGTAACGTGCCTTCTTAATGGAAAAATCTTAGTAAAAATGTTCTAAGAAGAAATTTTTATAAAAATATTTAAAAATGGACACTGCAAGGGCACTCAGGCAACATGTTATTTGTTGTGAAAAAAATATTACTATTATGTTATTATTTTCTTTATTCAAAGGGTTATATTTTCCGCTTGTGTGAAATTGATGAAGCATGCTATTCTTAGGTGAGTGAATCATGAAATCTATTAGGTGTTTTATTACTTCAGTTGGTTTAATTTGCCAGTGATACAGGGCATCCCTTTTTTATTTTATTTTATTTTTTTTAATACAGGGCATCCCATGATGCTTTGTAAGGGATACATTTTTCTTTGTTACAAAATTGATTTCTATTCACCTTCACCTTCTTGTTATAAATGTTGAATGTTGTACATTGCATGATGCAGATGCATCTTTCTCAGAGTCATTATATGGTCTTAGAAGGCGGTCCATAAAGCTTGTGCTAAATAAAAGTGGCTCCAATGTAGATTCAAATGATAATCTACATCGTTCATGCTTAGGAAGGCGCCAAAAAGTTCTATCTGTGGTATTTCTGGTATTTTATCTTCCACCCCACTCTCCCCCTTCCAAACCAACATGCACTCTTTACAAAGCAAGATGAAAAATGGAACAGTGATAAGCCCATGGAATATGTGGGGTCACATGAGATTAATTACTCCTTTTTGTATGACAAAGTCAATGCAACTGAGTCCATTACACCTAAGTTTTATTGATCCTGCGACATTATTGACCAACTGATAATTATTATCATGTTATGTAAAAATTCCTACGATAGCTTTCTCTTACACGTAAGGCCTTTATCATTTACGCTGAACATGCACAATGATATCCCATCTTGGAAATTTTTTTGCAAGCAGCTTTATAACTGATATAATGAATATTTTTTTTGTAAGCATCTCCATAATCAATACAAGCAATACAAGCTAAGGATGCCTAGATGGTTTCATATTTGTTTAATAGTGTTGAATGCAGGAAAAAGACTGCCGCACTGTTTCTGTTGATTTTTATCTCATTTATCATGTAAATCTCCAAATATTGCAGGTGGTTTTGCCATATTTTAAGTCCAAGTTGCATTCCATGTACAATAAAGAAAGAGAAGCAAGGCTACAAGAAAGCCTTTGGGGTCATGACGACGGAAGGCTGGATGATATTGATTATTTCTTTCACCAAGGGGAAATTTCTCAGACACGAGTTGAATTTCAGAACATGCAAGATTCAAATATGATACGTTTCAAGAAGAAAATCATGGCAATTGTAGGCGCTTGCTACCCTTGGGTACATGCAACCAATGAAGGTATTCAATTTGCTCGAGTCATTTATCATTCTACAGCATTCGTTCTTTTTGGAACATAAAAAATTAGTTTCTCACTAAAAATTACATGCTATTTAATAAATAAATGCAAGAGGGCCCTCATCTTCACTTTTTATTTGTAAATTCAAATTTTATTTTCATTTCAGAACAATAACTAAGCTTTATTTGCTTAACAATTGGTCAAAGTTTTCAACGAGGATTGATAAAATGCCTGGGAAACTGAGGGTAATTTCTCTTTGGAATAATATAAGGATTTGAGATGGTTAGGAACTAATGTGAAGAGAAACCATAATTTGAGGCAGTTGCTGGAGTTGAAAAGAAAGAAATTGGGGAGAAAAGGCAGAACAAGTTATAGTTTGAAGTTGAAAAAAAATAGCAACATAAGAAAAAGTTTTTAGTCAATCTAGAATGTAGAGTAGATCCATGTCTCATTAAGGTTTCGTTTGGGACAGCTTTCATATTGCTTCGCAAAGCAACTTTTTAGTACAAAAAGTGATGAGGACTGTTGACCTCTGATATAAAAAAAGAAGAAACAACAACAACAACAACATCAAGCCTTTATCCCACTACGTGGGGTCGGCTACATGAATCCTTTTTCTCCATTAAAGGATTCATGTCATTATTGTTCAACAAGTTTTATGCTGGCTGTCGACTACCTAACACAACCCTCCACTTTTCTCATCCAGGACTTGGGACCTGGCAACGGCAGTGTTAAAAAAAAGAAGAAGAAAAAAAGAAGAAGAAAAAAATCAAAACCAAATCTCACCTACTCTCTGCCGAACGCCTTACTCGCACGTCGTAGCCATGTCGTCGCACGCCGAAGGCCATCCCTCGCGTCACTTCTTGCCACGACCGCTCGCACGACTGATACGGGTCGTTAAAAGCTCGAAGCATCGAAGGCCTTCGGCTGGTTCCCGCTCTCTGGACCCCGATCCCGCTCCCTCTCTTTCTCCCGCACGATTCTT